GGTAACTGACAAAACAAAAGCGTTGCAAAAGAAACAATTGTAGGCTGTAATGCAGAGGACACTAGATTAGAAGCAATACGTATGATTGCGCACGGAAAGTTTGCCGGGAAGTGTACTAGACGGCGGGTGGTTAATAACCGATAAACGTTTAATTGATGCGGATGCCGCGGGATTCCGACCCGATGGAATTCTTAGAATCGCGGCAATCAGACGTCCAAAGTCCCTTCAGACGGGGTGACGGTCCAGGAGTCACGTCGTGCTTCCGTGGACTCTAGCACACGATCTTCGCCGCTTCCTCCCTCTTACACATCACTTTATATTTTACTTTTACAGACACTTGCAATTACGAAAAGAAAAAAAACATCATCATCATTGAACTAAATATATCTCACCACAATTCCACTTCAGATTCAGTATCGGAATCTTTGCAAAAACAAGAGAAACTTGTATAATCATTGTTTACATCAGCGTTTCCCAAACTGGTCTATCTCAAGGTGAACTTTATGTTAATTGTTTCTATCCTCATTTGTTATCCGCCTACATAGTTTTTGCATTAAGACATCCTTTGATAATTCTTATTTCGTTAACCGAATACAGAAAAGAACAGTAATCTTTTCGTGTTCCTCGAATGAAGGAGGAGAGTTTGCATGCACGTTCCCATTTGTTTATCCGGCGGTCATCCATAGCACGCATGATGAATCAAATTTATCACACTTTCTTATCGAGCAAGCGATTTAACTTCTCTATTCAGATCAACACTTTCAATGCAGACCACAACTTAATCGTTTTTTTTTCTTCCGACTCGTCGCTCAATATTCATCTTTTTTTTTTTTGTATCGCGGATTCCGGAGACATCGATGCGAACGCAAAGTCCAAGGAATTCGACGAAACTCCGCATTTTATCATCGACGACCCAGACATTCCAATGCAGACATGTTGACCAATTGATGTTAAACTACGCATCAATAAAACCCCCCCATCAAAAAACAAATAAATAAATAAAAAGCAGACACTTGCATTCTCGCAATCTCGCAACCGATTACGACGGAAAGACACAATGCTTTTAGTGGTGTTTTTTTTTCTTCTTTTTTTTTTAATCGATCAACGTATAAATAGACTTTAATGACCGAAATAGTCGCGCTCCAAAGTCCACATTCGCTTAGCACTTTTAATACGAAAACGCATTTCGAAAATTGTTCAACTTCGATTCGAATTGTGCTATTTCTATATTTTTGCTCAATTCAAATTTTGCTTTTCAATATTGAATCCGCACTGTTCGAAGGCGCACTATGCGAGGCACCTTAATCGTCGCTTTTCGTTGCTTCTCTGCATGCAATCAAATACGAATATAAAAGATGTGATCATAAAAAATATTTATGTTCAATTAAAAATAACATTGAAACGTAGCCACGAGTTTTGCAATATTTCGATTGATTTCCTAAAGGATTATTTATTATTCTGATCGTATTGAATTTTCCGTGTAGTGCGGATAAAAAGTCTTCTTTTGTTTTGTTCCATTAAAAAAAAACAACAAAAGAAATTGATTGTAAACAATGTTGTGCAATTGTTTTTGCAACAAGCAATCTTGATTAGAATGATTATTAGTAATTGGCAAGGTTCTATGATTGTAATGCATTAAACTTTGAAAGCATTTTTAATTGATTAAACATTGAAATGCTGCGAATAATTAACAGAGTTTACATAATTTGCCAATTAGAATAATGATATATTTGATTTATTTTTCTTACAATCTTGTTTTCAGTGCGCATACAATATTGCGGACTGTTTGAAACCGGACTAATCGGGGACTTTAAAACTGTATTAACGTAAATTTTCCAAACCGTGCTGCAGTGAATGCGGACTGATCGAAGCCGCGCTATGCGAGGTATTTTCAATGAATTATTGAACTTTGTCTATTGTGCAAAATCTAATTCACCGATAATCGTTTTATTGTATAACGACTTAAAATTGATTCCCTAAAGAGAAATATTTAGATCGTATTGTGCGTTTCGTTTCCGTTTTGTGCGGATTAAAAGTCTTCGATTAGTCCGGTTTGAAATATTGACGGATTTCTGACGTGTGAGATTTCAAGATTTTGTTTTGAATGTTTGCTTTTGTTTTCTTTTGTTCCATTAAAAAAACAAAGAAATTGATTGTAAACAATGTTGTGCAATTGTTTTTGCAACAAGCAATCTTGATTAGAATGATTATTAGTAATTGGCAAGGTTCTACGATTGTAATCCATTAAACTTTGAAAGCATTTTTTTCTTTTTTGCTAATCTTGTTTTCAGTACGCATACAATATTGCGGACTGTTTGAAACCGCTTCTAAATTCTTAACTAGAACACAATTTTTGCAAGCAATTTGCATACTGTTTGAAACCGGACTAATCGGGGACTTTAAAACGGTATTAACGTAAATTTTCCAAACCGTACTGGAGTGAATGCGGACTGATCGAAGCCGCACTATGCGAGGCGTTGCTGCATTCGCAATGAATTATTGAACTTCGCCTATTGTGCAAAATCTAATTCAACGATTGTATAACGTCTTAAAATAGCGTGCAAATAAATATTATGACTATTACTGTTTGTTACTATTTCTAATCTAGTTATAGAGGAGATTTATCGCGCACAGACAGACGAATATGATTGATTGGCGGAATCGGAGATGAACTCAATCGAAATCTAGACCTATTATTTTTTTTATTGATTTGTGTGCTCTTTTCTTGCATCTAACAAGTTTACGTTCAATCGCGATGATGTTATAGAGTTAATTAGTTTAATTGATCTAATAATTTCTAATAATTAAATTGATCGATTCATTAAATTTAACAAAGAAATCTTTAATTGAGCGATTGAATTAGCTTGTTTTTCTCGCATTTGCAATAAGCAGAGTGTTTTCTAAAAACAAGAATTGATTCTTTAACATAACGTCTTGTTTATCTGCACGTATTTTGAAGAGATTATGCAATCAATGAGTTAATTAAATTTGAGTGAAATTTTACATAGAAATCGTCGCTTTAATTATCGTTAATTAAATGATTGAATTAATCTATAATTACTTATTATTAATAATAACAATAATAGATTACTTGAGAGGTGGAAATTAATTAGAAATTGGTTTTAGTCAAAATTTTAACGGTATTAGGATAACTAAATATCAAAGTTTGGACTTACTCGACGCATACGGTGGTGGGTTTCAACGGTGGAAGAGGGCTGTTCTTGTTGTTGTGTTGTTGTTGGTGATTGAGATGCACACCTGAAGAAGGTCTTGGGCGATCTGATGGAGCGTTCTGGTCTCGGTTGTTGGGTAACGGTAGAAGCAGAAACCTCCACCACCCCCGGCGGCGGATTGGGGATGCAGAAGGAAGAGGAAGGAACGTAGAGGGCGGTGCGCGAACCCGCGACATTCCACATTCCATCGCTCGCCGTTACCATAGAGAACATCCCCCAAATAGAGAAACTAGTGACCAATGAAAAGACGAATCCAAACAGGTTGTCGCGTCTCCACCCACATCTTCTTCAGATGTTTAATAACAACAACAATAACAACAGTAACAACAACGCATCTCTTTTTTTTTGTTGTTGTTGTTCGTTTGACCAAACCTCGCGAAATTCCGAAGCACACTGAACTGAATTTTCACACCCAATTTTCTGCCCGTCGCATCGACTCGAATCAATCAATCAAACCTATTGTACCTTTCAAACGTTCCAATCAATCGATTCAAGAACCTTCCGATTCTTCTTTTTTTTTAGCACGAAATCCGTACAATGCGAAACAGATCGTCTTTTCTTTTTCGTTCGAGATGACCCCGCTTATCCGCGCTGTGCTTCAACTTCGACCCGAAAAAACCGGCATTAAAACAACATCCAATTAATTAATAATACACGAAACGTGCACTCGGAAAACTCAATATGAAAAAAACATCCACGCGATAAACAGTTTTTTTTTT